TAAAGGTTTTATTTTAATATAATTTTGATTGTTTTTCCATTTAACTTGTGTTTTATCTTATCTTATATCACTGGGAAAATAACAACATTCCAACGGAAAATCCGACGGTAATATATTACAATAGAAAGCACAACAGATATTCCAATGATGTAGCTTCCGTTAGGTTGGATTGATTCCAACTGAAAGTTTAGCGAAAATATTCCAATGATTGAGTTTTCCATTAGAACTTTAAATGAAATTTGATGATTACAACGATTATTTTTCAACCGGTTTACTACCTTAAGAATTTCTGTTGAAATTTTTATTTTCACCCATATTTGAACCGTTAAAAAATCTACTGGTAGAATCGTCAAAATCTAACGGAAATTCCAATAGAGAATTCATTCCAACGAAATATTTTTGTTTAGAATTTTCATTGGAATCCATTGAAAATTCTAACGGAATTTTAACATTGGGATATTTATTTGAATTGTCGATGCAATTCTAGTGGAATATATTTCTATTGGATTTTTTGTTGGAATTGCATCATTTTTATAGTATAATAAAGGTGTGTATAGAATAACAACACTAACATTAGTCATTTTAGTATAAAAGGCCTAAGTAGGGTTTGTAAACTTCGTTTTTATTTTTCTCTTTTTGAAACACAAAATGAGTCGTCACCTTCTTGTTCTCTCCCAAGTTTTCCTGTTCTAAGACTTATGAATCAAATATGGTATTGGTAAAGGCTCAATCGAGAACCCGACCTAATTAACTAAATTTGAGTTTAAGAATGTTAAAAAAGGGTTCGCAAGTGAGGGAACATGACTTATGAGATGTTGCACATTGATTAAATTCAAAAAATGAACTTAATATATAAGTTTAGTGATAACTACTCCACCTTATACTAATTGGTTTTGAGATAGAATCTCATTCAGATAACACATAAGATCACCTCCAAGTATATAAATTTGATTGCATAATAGAGATAAAATAAGTGTGATTTTGCTGGTTAGATCAAGAGGTTGCACGAACGTAATTTGTGCTAATAAATACAAGTTTACTTGGGGTAAATATATATTTTTTTTAATCCAAGCTATAATGATGTTTGCGACTTATCATATAAACTACTCTTTTACAAACCTCTATACAAACTTAGTAGTTATTTCATATTGACCTACATGCCAATTTTAATAACATTTTTTTTTGGAAAACCAAGTTTTTCAAACTAGAAAATATGGCGGCGCCATTAAAATTATGAACAAACACAAATAAATAGAGTGGGGATGGATCACAAGTTCGCATCAACTATAGACCCATACAACTAACTTTTGTTGTGTGCCCCCTCGATCCCTTTTTCCCCAAAATTAGGAAAATTAAATCAACAGCGTCTCGGAGTCGTCCTCCCTCCAGCGTAGGCCGATGCCGCGGTCGGAGCTAAAGCTGGTTGTTTGCTTCTTGATGGGTCTTCGTTCATCCCTCGCGTGGATTTAATATTTCTGCAGCTGGCCATGGCGGGGAGTGAGGCATCAACTTGCTGGTGGCTTTGTGACGGAGGGAGCCAGTGACCTGTTCATGTGTGATTTTACACTACATTCATATAGTATTTAGAGCTTGATTGGTACATTTGTGGTGTATAAATTGCATATTTGTGCCTTAATTCTATATTTGTTGGAAAGGTATTACACGTGCTCGTTTTGTAGATATTTTCACATATTTGTAGAGCTTTGGCTATTGGAGGAGCATAGTGAGTGCCTGAGACTCCCGGGATAATGATAGATCGATGCACGGATGAAGAGAATGGAAGAAAAGAGCGAAACGAGTCGAAAATGAGCGTACAGTAGTGTGACACGACCTGTGACACGGGCTCCTGGGTCGTGTCACCACCCGTGTCACCTCAACAGACAACAATGAAGGATCTATACCTGACACGACCCGTGACACGACCTGTGACACGGGCGTGTCAGGTCGTGTCGCGACGCAGGCTGTTTTTAATTGCTTACCTTTTTCACTTAGGAGAGGACTTTTGGACATATAAAAAGACCTATTTATCTGATTTTGAGCCCTAGAACGTGATTACGCAAGGAAGAGAGTCAGAGAACACGCAAGAGAAGCAATTGAGAAGAAGAGAAGATCGACGACAAGCTTACTAGTTTTTCTTTCTATCTTTTGAACTTGTTTTTTCATGTTGATTTTGAATATGTCTATGTATTTGATTTCAAACATGAGTAGCTAATCTTCTTTGATTCTAGGACATGGTAGTAGATTAATAGTTTGGGATTTTTGGATGATTTATTATAATTGATCGTTTTCTTTTGAACCCTATTCAAATATTTCGTGCTTATTTCATGAATTGCAACTGGCCATTGCTTTTACATGTTTGATGATATTGTTCATAATTCGAGAGATGAGTTCAATATAAGATCTTTAATATTTGACACAATTTATTTGCTTGAATCGAGAGATTAGTAGATAGTTGTGAGGATCTTGGGTCTTTTATTCTTTTTGGAGTTGAATTGCATGTGTTGAGTGGAGACGCTAATATATGTGATTTAATCTACGGTTTTATCGATCTCGTGAGGGACGGTAGACTAATCTTGTGATCATCTTATAGGGGAGATAAAGAAAATAGTTAATTGTGATATATTTGAAGGAACCCAACTGTTAATTGAACCCATAGTCTTAGAATCTATCATTCCCATATATTCTTCTTTAAGTGTTTTTCTAGTTGTTTTCTTGTTATTGCTTTCTTATCTTTTGATTTATTTGCTTAGTTTAGTTAATCAATCTCATATTACGATCGTCTAAATAAAGTTGACACTATCATAATCTGGTACTTGATTAATTGGTTGTTTGGTCTCTTGGGATACGACCTTGCTTGCCACATACTACGAGCGAAGCCGTACACTTGCGGTCGACCTTTAAAAATATAGGCGAACATGACCGCCTGGTGGTGGTCGGCGCTTGATGTCCGCTCCTCTGCCTCCTCGGCCCCTGCTCGACCATGGTGTTGGCTTAATATGGGCGGCCGACAGGTGCAGCTTTCGGTAGGCAGTGCTCAATGGCCGGGCTAGGGAAGAGTTGGGGGTGGTATTGTTGGTGTCGGTTCGATGGTGATCTCCTGGGAAAGGTTTCGTCCTTGGTCTAGCTTCAGTCAACCGGTAGATAAGTTTCTAGATCCGTGTTTTAGGCCAGGATTTAAGCCCCCTATATGGTTGCTTTAGGTGATAGCTAGCTCGAGGTTTGAAGAAGCCTAAAGGCAGATGCCATCGCCGCAAGAAATCAGAGCACTGGTGTAGGAGTATACTGTAAAAGTTCGGCTTTGTGTTACTCAATAACTCCATTTTGAATGAGCTTCGTGTTATTAGTTGAGTGGATGTTACTCAATAAGGTTGAAGGCACCGCACAATCTATCCCATCAAGCACTAAATGAAAATATCCGTTGACAATCTATTGAAAAAATATCCGTTGAGAAGTTCGTGTCTAATATATTGGGATTTTGTTAGTATGATCCATAGAAAAATATTTGTTGGTAATCCATTGAAAAAATGTTTGTTGGTAAGTCCATGTCTAAGCTGTTTCTGTTGGGATTTTTGTTTCAATTTGACAATGGTATTATTTAACAATTATATTATGTGTTGAGAATCTCTTAACAACAACATATAGTTTTTTTGTTGTAAATTCACTGGTAATCCGTTGCGATTTTTTTAGATGATTATAATTTTTGTTGACAATAATTAACAACAAGCTATAAAGCAACAACAAAATCTGTTGGCACTTATTGGGAAACTTGATTGCCAAGGGATTATTCGGTTAGTAAAACTCATAATTCTTTTAGTGTTACTCAATTAAAATGGAAGTGTAAGAATTCCATTGGACAAAGAAAAGTGGACAAAAATAAAAATGTGTAGGTATGACCGTTTCGAGAAGAAGAGTATAAATCACTCGATTGGAGTGAAATTCGTACGACGTAGGAATTACTCTTAAAATAGGACGTCGTATGTCACTCAATTATTGGCATGTCAATAAAATCTGCAGGGTCGGGTTACCCGCGGTTATCCACATTTTCAATTCGGAGAAACCCGAGATGATCGACTTTAGGTTCGGGTTGTGATTGAGTAAAATCCAAATTTAAAAATTCGGCTTACCCGTTTCCCGATGAAAACCGATAAACCGTCGAGTAAAACCCGACCGAACCCGAAGATCACTAGCCGAGTAACGGGTCAGACTCGAGTAGGGGGTAATTTATATGCGGGCTGAGTTCGAGTTTGCCAAAACCCGCCCGACCCAAGCCGACCCATTTACATCTCTACTCGATTAGAGTGAAGGTATGACCGATTAAGTATGGCCCGTTGTCATCCCAAGTCCATAGGATACATATAAAAACTGTCAATAAAGTTAAAAGGTCTTCCATCTTACAACACCACCCCCACGGCTCACTCTTACCCATACATTACAATGTATAGTGCTGCAATTGATAGTACTGATAATTAATAAACTCACATGAAAACGATGGACAATAATTGAACTTGGCGTAGCCTTATCACATAAATATACTAAAAATCGAAAAAAGTAGAGAGGGGAGAGAGAGGGGGAGGTTTTAGGGAATAACGAACTTTCTCGGCACGCGTAAAAAGATTAAGAGACACCTCACACGTGCTGTGAAATGAAACGTGATGTGTAGCACCTCTCCACGTGTTCCTTTTTCTCCTTCTCTCTCTCTCTCTCTCTCTGGTCTGCTTATATTCTTCTTCCCTTGCAATGGAAAGGTCTCACTTGAAGACTTGTTAATTCAATTTCAACTCTCCCTAGGCTATGCCCCTACTACCTAAGCCTAGCGCCATCCTTTACGCCGTCGTTTCCATATCCTAATTCTCTCTACTCATAAACCCTCCAATTTTCCCCATTTTTTCAGCCATGATCAATATCTGACGAGCTTAACCTCAATTGGATTCCCCCCATGGAAGCCAATTTCACCTACATGGGCCGCAAATTCTCCGACCTCACCCTCAACGACTCCTCCTCCTCCTCCTCCGCCTTCAGCGACTGCAACAGCGACAGATCCGGCGAGTTTCCCACCGCCTCCTCCGAGAGCCGCCGCCTCTTCCTCGCCTGCGCCTCCGACAACTCCGACCAGCTCATTTCCCAGCTCGTCGCGGGCCTCGCCTCCGACTGCCCCGACGTCCAGAAGCAGGCCGCCATGGAAATCCGCCTCCTCGCCAAGAACAAGCCCGAGAACCGACTCCGGATCGCCCGGGCC